GTTCAAATACAGGACTCTATTACTGCTGACCCAACCACAGTGGGTGTTCTGGAGTACCCATGCTTTAGGTCACAGAGTTCTCCAATTCCCAAACCTCTTACTTGGCAGCCAAGTTAGGAGCAGTTTCAAAGCTGTATCTGTTGTGCCTATGCAAACCTGCACATCAGAAATGGAGGTCCAATGCAAACAACAATGAAAATGAGACCTCTTATAAGCCCCCCACATTTCCTCTCTTCCATTATATCCCTCTGTCAAGGTGTCTGTCTGGCAACACTATACTCTGGGAACAATCAGAGTCAGTACTGACTGCTTTTATGGTCAAGGCCCCGAAGTGTGCCACTGTGAATGAGATCAGTTGATCTATTTATCTACATACCTACCTATCTAATCTATCCACTTATTAATTGCATAGTCCCATTTTTCATTTTAACTGCCTCAAACTTCAGCTGCACCTTTTTTGTCAAAGCTTTTACAGAGCTTGGCTTGACAAGCTTTGGCCATTACACCAAGCATCCTGTTTAATAGGTGCTCATAACCACCCTGCTCTCCTGGGGAAGGTTACCTTGGGTTGGAAGAGACAAAGTGGTATAATTCCCTGGGCCAAACTGTGTAAGTGTAGCATCTCCATACACCCTCAGCCAGCGAGAGGAAGCAGCAGGAAAGGGAGCACAGAAGCTTCAGAGCATTCTTCTCCTTCCCAACCCTACGCTTCTTCCTGTCCTCCCTCTCCTGCATGCTCCCTCCCTCACCTCTCCTTTTCCTGCATCCCATCCCTCCCATCTGCCACTGCACTCCATCCTCCCCATCTCCTGCTGCCCCTGCAGAGGCATCCCTGCAGTCAGAGCCCAGCCCCCGGGTGCGTTTACCGCTGTTGTCTCAGCACTGGCTCCTCTGATCTACTCCTAACCTTTTTATTTTTATTTTTGTTTTTAAATTAATTTCCCTGTAGATTTTAACCACTCCATTTTCATTTACCCATTTTGTTCTTCCTCTCCTCCCTTCCCCACCCTCCTCTTCCTCCCCCTGTTCCCTTTGTCTGTCTGTGTCCATCCCTTACCCTACCACAGAAAACCTCTCCTCTCCCCTCAGTATAAAGCAAGAGCCTCATGGAGCCTCTCTCACCCCTTTCACCCCCACCACGCCGGTCGGCTCTGGGCAGGCTGATCTTCAGCCCTTCCACATGGCCCTTTCAGACGATGCGTCCACGCCTTGCTACAGTGCCTTCCTTCATCATGGTGCCCACTTTGGGCAGTCCAGCGGCCAGCCTCTGATAGCAGGTAACCGGCCTTGGCCACAAACTCAGCGGGGATGCTGCAGGCAAGGGGTTCAGTTTCGTCTGACGGGGAGACCAGTAAATGCTGCAAGCTCTTTGAGTGCAAGTGGGAACCAGAGCAACCATGTTCCAGTTCTGTGTATGCAGCACATGTTCTCAGCTCCACGGAGAGTCACAAAAAGATCTCATGCCTGTCCTTCATTTTTTAGAATAAAATGGGAGAAGCAGCTGTAACTACCTAGAAGTGGCTGGGTGTTGCAGTTGGATGGGTTTGGGACTTAGTATAGAAACACTTGTACGGCAAAATCCTGTGATGCCTCAATAGCCATAATGCCCCTGAGTGCTGTAGGCCCAGCAAGGGTACAGTGTGCCAGCCTAAGGTAGATGATTGCAGCTCGAATAACCTAGCCAGCTCCAGGGCTGTTAGCAGGGTCATTCAGCATGGGTCAGTACCTACTAAGTTAGATAAATACGTAGGCAGTTGGTGAGCACTACCATAGCTATGTTGTGAGCAGTATTTGAGTCACCTGGTTTGGGAGTGTCAATGCAAGCTGGTGCCTTCACACAGTAGACCAAGTAGTTAAGAAACAGGGCACCATGTCTCAATGTCAAGACCAAGAAGGGTAGGTAAGAGACTATAGTGTCTTGCAGCCAAAGGAATGTTCCACCACCACCTGAGGTAGGTGGCCTTACAGGGAAGGACAGAAGTGAAGAAATAGGTTGCAGAAGATGACAGCACTTAGGGGCAGCAGGCTGGAGGGGAGGAAGGAGAAGTTTCAGGTGGTACTAGGGGAAACTCACATGCAAGGTCACTGAAGCAACACTGCTGCAGAAGCTCAGGGGTGGCTTGGATGAAACAGTGACCACTGAGGCTGTTGTCACTCCACTGTCCAAGAATGTAATTTGGGCTTTTTCTGGACAAAGTCTTAGTGCAGACCACAATTCGTAATGCTCAAGAAACACCTCTTGCCTCTGCCTCCTTCATGTTCCTATATTATTTTTCTCTTTTGACCTAACATCCTCCCTTTGTCTTGTCAGGTGAGATTTGCATTTCTAAACCTCCCTGTAGGAAAGCAGCAAGTAATAGCAGAGAAGACTTTTGTACTCATAACACTGTCTTGGTCCAATCTTAATGCAGCCAGCAAGCTCAGCCTCTGAGCTCTGGGCACTTCCTAAGCCAAGGAGTCTCCTGATGGGCTCTCTCCAACAGTGTAGTTCTCTGGGGATGCAGTCGTATATGACCACCTGCTAGCCTACAAGGCACCGTGTTTCAGGAGAGGCACCTGCCTTAGGACCCGCCCTTACGGAGAATTAGATATGGGAGAAAGTGCTCAAAAGCTCAGTGTCACAGTGGTGAATGTGCTGTTCCTCACTCAGAAGGCTCCTGGAGAAGGGAGAATGGCTGGAGTTGGAAGCATGTTATGAGTAGGATAGGTGCTAGCTTTGCCATAGCCCTGCAGTAGAAGAATTTAATAATCCTGTCTACCTGTTGGTAAGGAGAGGAGGTAATGGAAGGGGCTTGCTTGTATGTAACAGCATTTTAAGAGTCTCTCTGTGGGACTCCCATTCGTGTTGCTGGTACTGTACTTGTTTGTTATCTTCTTTTTCAAGATTGGGATTTTGACAGATGATCACTTCCCAGTGAGTTTTCCACACTGAGTTTTGAACATCGGCCTCTGTGCGCTCATGTCTGAATAAAAACACAGGGGCATATGTGCACAGATCAAGTAGCAGAGTGAGTGTGTATGTGTTCCCACTTGAATGGAAGTGTCAAAATGAATTAATTTTACCTGCTGCTACATAATGTTCTCTAACTTTTCAGTGGCACTGTTTTCTCACTCATCACCTGTTGTTATTTCTCAGCCTAGTCAATATATGAAACCAAAAGGACATGAATTTTAAGCATAAAACTTCCTTGCCTTAAAAGAATGTGAGGAAAAAACCCCAGAACTACACCTAGTAGGTGTTAATCATACAGATTAACACACAGCTACAAATCACTAAAGGAATGATGGTGATAAAAGAGTAGAAGACTATAAATCCCTGAGACATTATATATTTATTTTTATCAATATTGGGGAGTGTCTGGAAAATGGCTCAGCCGCTGTCTGGTAGTTCTGTGCCATTATCTAAGAGGAGGTGAGCTAGGAACATCAGCCACCGATCAGGAACCTCTTCAGGGAGAAATAATGAATTTGCATTCCTTTTTTCTTGAGCAAATCACCTCAGTGATCTTTAGTCAAGACCTATGAAAGCAGTGACACTGGTTTAGCCTATCTCATCCAGAGAAACTTCCTCCCTTCGGGTTAATGCTCCGTGTTGATTAGTTTTTGCTTTGCTGTGTAACATTTATTTCTGATTCCTCAGCCAAGGTTCATGCTCGTTCCAGGGTCTGCTTTATCAGTTATCATTTTGCTACTAGTAGAGCTAACCCAACTCTTACTCTTCTTTCATTGGCATATCCCAGCACAGTTCCAGTGACTCCAGTGGTTTTAATGGGCGATACTTAACCCATCACTTCTAAAGGCGAATCAGGCTCCAGCCCTCCAGTTAGAACAGACAGGAGAGACAAAATTTAACAAAGGAACAACAAATGGCACAAACTTTTTGGTGGGCTGCAGTTCACCTAGGGAATGTGAAAGGCTCTGGATGCCTGGAACAGGCTGAGATCTCAGTGGGCAGTGTTGCAGGTTGAGCTGTAAATCTCCCAGCAGCTGTGGGGGAAAGATTATCTTAATTTATTTAGCCTTTTTTTTTTTTTTTTTTTTTTTTTGGTTTTGGCTTGAAACTCCCAGCAGCTTCTGAGATGATTTTAGTTCATTTAAATGCAATAAGCACTAACAGCAAAGTGCCCTTCTGGCTGGCCCATTTTCAGGCTAACCAGTCCAAATGAGGAAATGCCTCTGGCATCAACCAAGAAGCCTCCAGCTGCACTTCCTAAGAGGTGAAAAATAAACTACAATCATCCACCCAGTCCACACCCCTCTCTACTTCTTGGTGGGGAAAAGATACCACAACTTTAAGTATTATTAACAAAACCTTGTACCTGTGATAAAAATGAAGTGGGACTTAAACTAATCCGTGTGATCCTATCATTATATGTATTACACCAGCACCTGGAAGGAGTCCAATCAGTATTGATCTCATGCTAAACACTGTGCAAATGTACTAAAAGTGTGCCCTTGCACCAAAGAGTTTGCAGCATAAAAAGAAGCACAGAGAGGTGAAGTGACTTGGCTACAATCATGAGCAGGTGAATGGCAGAGGTGGGAAGAGAGACAGGCACAGAAAACTCTTGGATCACTTTCCGATGCCTTGCACATTGATCATGCCCTAAAGCAACATCACCACAGTTTTGGAACTGCATCCTCTGCATATAGACAGGACCTCAGCTACTCTGGCAATGAATATGCTGCCATTCTCTCTGCAGCTTAGGGCCATTTTGATTTAGTTAAAATAGATCCAAAATCTACAATTAAATGAAACAAATGATTTTGAGCCTCCAAAGCTAAGTTTTAACATCCATCCTTACAGTGTGGGATCAAAAGTGCCACAATCTTCTCCCCAAAATTTTCAGTAGGTGGACAGCACTTATCTTAGAGAAGGCTGCACAGCACTTGCCTATCAAGCTGCTAGTCATGTGGCAGTGGGACAAAAGGTGGTATCAAATCAATATTGAAAGATCTTATCCCTGTTGATCACTTGTCCTGATTCTTTCCCTTTCCAGGTCGTGATATGGCAAGCACCACCTTGCCTGGCTACCCACCCCATGTTCCCCCAACTGGACAAGGCAGCTACCCAACCTCAACTCTTGCAGGAATGGTTCCTGGTAAGTCAGCCTCCAGACTTCAGTAACAGTGCCCACATGTTTGCACGGTATACTAGCATTGTAAAACCTTTCACAGTTGGCTTTGTTATTGCTTTGCTGATATTAGGGCCTATTCTTTTCATAAAGAAATCATCAGGTGCCTATAACCACTGTAGCTAACACCACTTTCTGAAATGAATCTCCTTCCCCCTGGTAACTGATTCACTGCTGCTGTGGGCAACTAGATATCTATAACCTGTGGCAATTAATTGGTAATTAATTAACCTTAGTATTCATTAACTAATGTAATTATTTTCCAATGACCCATGCAGATTATTATGTACTGCTTGTGGCGCAGGATATTCAGCTATCCACTAACTTAGGGTAACAACTTAGTTTCTATCTAAAGCCAGGGCATCAAACTGAAAATCATCAATGGTAATTTAATACCTGCAGGTTTTGGAGACTTACTGTCCATAGCTTAACTAGGTAAGAACTCAGCAATGATTAACAGCATTTCAGGAGGAACTAACTATTCACTTTCAACAACCAGCTACAATAGTTAGTTCTATTTGCCCACCTCCTGTTTGTAAGACAGTTTCTTGGATTGGAGGTACTATCTGCCTAATCTTATATCCAAAGGCAAACTGTTTCTTTGCTACCCAATGCCTTTGGAGAAATGCCTTCTCTTGGCAAATGGGTTCTCCCACTGATTAGGGAGAACATTTCACCATTTACCCCAGGGCAACTGAATTGCTGATTTCCCCAGTCTCTGTTTCCCACTCCTCTGATGACAGTTATCCCCAGCAGATAAATGAAGAAGCAGGATTTTAGTTGCTCAGCCACGGTAGCTCAGAACTCAGAACTTCACCTACCACTGACTTCTGTTTATGTCACTGCCCTGGGTTGTGAGTCGTGACAGCTAGTGAGCAGGTACTCAGACCATTCTGCAACCTCTGCTACTGGAGGGGTGACTCCAGAACTGAAGCAGCAGAAAGCTGAGGACATAAAGCTTTTACATCACTATGACACAATTTGCCAGGGCTTATGAGCAAAAAGCCTAACTTTAACCCTCATGCAAGTCTTGGAACAGCTAGCCTAATGAACATACACTGCAGTGAGGACAGTGAAAATATCATCAATAGGAAATTTTTGCAGGTCAAAGTCTTAACATCTTTAAATGACAAATCACTGCTTACATACTGTGAAATACTGGCTAATACCTACAGTCACATTCCAGAGCTAACAAGCTCCCAACTGCTTACGATCCTAAGGCACAACAAAATCTCAGGCTATGCTGTGAAGATGCTATGATTGACCCCCAGATCAGGAAAAGATAAGATAGTGGATTGGTCCCCTCCTCACCCCCGCTTTAGTCCCTTGGTACAGTTGACCAGCTTGCTGAACTTTTGGGGTGGTTCAGAGTTGGCAAATTTTAGGGCATCTCCTTCCACACTAAATTTTTTAGGGAGATGATTTGGCTCCAGAATCAGAGAAGCACTACGACAATATAAATCAATTAACTCCCCCCCCCCCCCCAGTAACAGTAGGTAGACTCAGTTGTCAACATTTAAGTCAGTTACAGGTCAAAACTTACAGAAGGTCCTGGCATATAGAAATGATTAATAACACCAAAAGAGCTGGCTCTTTCAACAGGTGCTTCTAAAAACCAGGCTCTTCTCAGCTTCTGTTCTCAACTTCTTAACTGTTCAGTGACTGCTATGTAAGTTTAACATCCTTATCACAAGGATGATACTGACATCTAAACTGGGACAAAAATTTCAAGACCACTAAGGTCTTAAAATGAGGGGCCACTCATCCAAGAATAGGTTATTTCAGGTCCTTGATGTGGAGGCTACTTACCTATAAGACAGCAATGTCCCCAAAACCACACAAATACCCACAAAAAGAAAAGGAACAGGATAATAAAGAAAAAAGTTGAGCTATACTTCAAAGAAAAAAAATATTATTCAAGTCAAATGGATATCTTTATATGAAATCTGATGTCAACATTCAATTAGAGGAAGTTTTTCCGGTGGCCTACTTGGGCATCCTGCAGTAGTTACTGCATCTTTCCACAGAGCATCAGGTTCTGGCTGTTTCAGTCATACCCCACTGGTCAGACCCAGCCTGGCAGCCCTTCTATTCCTGTCTTGTAATGTGACTGAAGCCAACAAGCTGGAGATAAAGAGGCTTCCTGGGAAGGAACATAAGACTTGACTTTAATGGGTCACACTGCAGATCTCTGCAGCCACTGCTCTCTGTCAGGGGCCAAAAGTGAACGCCTGGGGAAAGGTATAAGAGTAGAGCAAGCACGTATCAGTACTTCCTCAAAAGATCTCCCAACCTCCAACCAGTTTCAGCTCAGAGACTTCCTAAGCCAGACTTAATATCTTTTTATTTGATATTAAACACCCTCAATAGGTTTCCCCTCCCCAAACTTAAACAATGTCTCTTGAACCCGTATAAGCCTTTAATATCTGTAGCAACCTATGGCAAGAAGTTCTGTAGCCTAACTACGTATTGTGTGAAAACTACCTCCCTTATTTGTTCTGAACCTGCCACCTGCTAGGCTCACTTCATGCCTCATGGTTTCTGTATTAGAAGACTAAACGTGCCAAGATTTAAATACAGATACCAAGAAATACTGTTAGTAAAGGTTCCCAGAGCAGAGATTGCACAGAATATAGGCCTCATGAGATCGATCCTCTGTGCTTGCTTGCAACCTCTGTTAAGAGTCCAGGTTAAACAGAGAAAACAAATATGATGTCGCCAATGGTTTGTTACATGCCCCCAGGCCAAGAAAGATCAGAGGCCAGTGCTTTAACTACATTGGAAACAAGTAGCCAGCAAGATGACCGCTCAGGGAGTATCTTTAAGAAACAGACTGACACACAACCCAACCTTATTGTCCAGATGGGAGTGAATATGAGAAAGAGGCTTTGTCTTCTCTAAATAAAGGTGCAGAGCTAAAAGTACAACTGGTCAGAAGGCAGAATTTCCAACCCAGGCAAAACCCTGATTTTTTGACATTTGTTTTCATCTTACATTGGGATGAAGAGCCAGAATCTTGAAGTAGTTCAATTTGCAAACATCAGGATGAAACATTTCAATAATGTCAACATGTTCTAGATGTCAAGACTTATTAAAATAATAAAAGAGTTGAAAGGAAATTAAATGAGATGAGAAAGGCAAAATGAAACAAAACAAGAAAGTTGAAACATAATACTTTGTTTCAATTTGCAATCATTTCAGAACTTTTCTTTCCAAAACTCCATTGAAGCTGACAAGCTCGTGCAAAACATTTCAATTTCGATGAGACAGCATTTTCCAGTGGAAAACTGTTTCTGAAAGGATTCTTTGACCAGCGCTAACCAAAGCTGCTCTGTTCTATCCGTGACAACCTTTCACTGGACTTCTACTTGTATGGTCTAGAGAAGAGCTTGTCTGCAGTAGCAGTACGTCCATGCAACATGGTCAGTCATGCATGCAAATATCTCTGAGGTTTATGCAGATGATGTGGTAAGATACATATCCTGCATTTGCCCTTGTCTGTAACTTCAGGTCCCAGGCTGTAGCCGTGGGTGAAAGCCAGTAGTCTCTGAGCACGCACCTGAAAAAGCAGGGGTTAGTCACTCAAAGAAGGATGAATCAGGCATTGCTCTACACTTAACCTGCACGCCTGAGAGATGTGTCCTGCACAGGTAACAGAGGGCCTTTGATCCCTGCCTCAATTCTTCCTCTTTCCCAGGAAGGCCATCAAGTTTTTGCAAACTGTTTTGGCGAAGTGAGCATCCGCTGAAGGGAACTGCAGTTTACACAGAGCGGTGTAGAGCCTGCAGAGGGCTGGTGATGGCAGCGGCAGGGAGTCGTTAAACAGAATCCAATGCTGATGAGGAAATTACACTTGTTTCATTAGTGATCGGGGAAGGCGATAGCTCAGTTCCTCTTGGTCACAGTTGAGCTCAAAAGCTCATTATCCTGCTGCATGCATGCTTTCACTCCTCGTCAATAAACACTGTTTCCAGTGGCTGCCCTCCCTCCTCCCCAGCTCTCCATAGCTGGGGCTCTTTCTCCTCTACTTAACCCGTGCTTCAGGAACACTATAAACAGTTTAGGGTGACAACTCAGAAGAGGGCGAGAGAGAAGCTTTGAAATGTCAGAATTACTTCTCTCCATGCAGAGAGGTGATGTTTATATGAGGCATATCAAAGAAGAAACTCTCATCTGGATAGGTTGTTTTCCTTCTTTGGGGGACAAACTCATTCCAGCATATCCCACAGCTAAGTCACTTCAGTAGAGATAAATCTGGACTATGCACTGCTTTTTACCTTTGTATCCTATCCCACAGCATGTTGGTCACCTTAGCAGGTTTCACCTATTCCTTCCCAGCTAGCTGTCAGGATTTTCAGTGCAGAATGCTTCTAGATACTGAAACATGCTGAGTTATTATCATTAAAACAATATTTAGCAAGGCCTGTCACACAAAATGAGGTTTTATGCTGAAACTAAAAACTACTGTGACTAAAATACCTTTAGATGGTGATTGTTTCTGATACACGCACGTTTTCATACTGACTACTTTGGTTATTACCCTAAGCATCTTTAAAAACCCTGGCTGGACAGATTCTGCTCAAGTTTAAACTGGTGCAAATCCCCTGACTTCACAGACTTCATTTCCACCATCTGAGAATCTGTGGTTTTGGCTACAACTTGTCGGTGAGGGGAGATTTGCAGAGATTACAGTATAATTAATTGACATTTCTTTGGAAATTGTATCAAAGGCATCCAGCACGTCTCGCGTTGCCTCCTTGCCCTATTCCATGGTATCCAGCAGGAACCCCAGGTGCTTTGCAAACACTTCTGCTGTAACAACTCCACCCCTGACCAGAAGCTAATAGTCACGCTGCTCTTTCACTGCCTTTAAGCGCATAATGTCTTTCAGATGGCACTAATTGTCCCCAGCCTGTCGGTACTGCATTAAATTGAGGTTATAATGGCATGTTTTTACTTAACAGAATCATATATTTTTAAGTTTGGGGAGATTTATTTATTTATTTTGAATGCAGCACCATACTTGCTTGGTTACCAAATATAATTCCCTTAGCCCTGCACAGCCTTCTATAAAACAAGGAGACCCAGCTCCTTATGCACAATAAAACTGAATATTTAAGAAGACTCTACAACGTTCATATCTTAGGGTCAGAGTCTTATTAGATCACAAAGCTCACAAGCATTTTGCTTTGGGCCCATTTTACTGAATGTGAAAAAGGGAGCTGTAGCCCAGCTTGTCTTTCTGATTCAGAATACCACCTAAAGCACTAATAATTAAAAAAAATATTTTCTGGAACTGGAATTCAGCAAGTTTTCTCAGTAATTCACTAACTAAGCAAAAAGGTGTGGTTCATCATATACGAATCGCTTTTCTGACTAACACCATCATATTGAGCAAGAGAAAAGTGATTTGTATGTTTTCCATTTTGTTTTATATTTAAGCCCACCCTATTCCCAGAACATTTCCAATAATGAATGATATTCTTCTCCGCAAATACATCATCATCCTCAGCACCTTAAGAACAAAACTTTGCAGTACATATTGCTATCAACAGCACTGCTGGTTCCAGTGAGTTTGGTGAGCTTGTCCCATCAAGCTGCCATGCCTGCTGTCTTGACACTACTGGAGAACCCTAGATTTTATTTAAAAGAAAGCTGACAGTCAATTGAAGAAAAAGCTTGCATATGCAGTCCTACTGCAACCTGAGTCAGAAGGCAATGAAAAATAATCCAGTTTAATTATTTCTTTGTATTATTAAATTTCATTATTTTAAACTCATTTTTTTGATTCTGAAGAGGTCAATCTTACGATTTTTAATTGTATGGGTAAGCAACATTGCACTGAACAAAGATTACGGTGTCCTGAAGGGCAAAGTCCCAGCTGGGCAAGGAAGCTACCTATATACGCTAGTTTTCCTGCTGGCATATGGATTTAACGTGAAGACTGGCTTGATGGGATAGCCGACATAAACCTTCTTTCTTAACTGTATTTCACACCTTCCTTGCTTTCTTCCAGGGAGCGAGTTCTCAGGGAACCCCTACAGCCACCCTCA